GTGAACATGAGAATAGAGATGGTTGATAAAACAAAGAGACATAATTAAGAGAGAAAAAAGCCACACATACATATGTAAGAAAAATGGGAAATTATAGCTAAATGTATCTTTATTTACAAAATATTTCTCTATATGTTGAGATATAAATATAAAAAATATTAAAATATAACATAGAACATGAGTTTGTTAATTTTTCCTGTGTCTGGCAACCTCTGGGGCACTGTCCAGTAGTTAAAAAAAAAAGTCTGCAGGCAAGCAAGTAAACAAAAATGAAATTCTTGCCATGGAAACTAAAAATGAAAAGGATAAAAGAAAAATGTGTGAACGAGGCAGGCAACTGGTGTTCCAAACACACGGAATAGCTTTGGCTTTGCAGGGCCTGGAGATGATCCGTGAGAGGTAACCTGCCTACGTAATATCTTTTTACTTTACTGACCCCCTCATCTCCCATTTTCTGTTCCCCCTTCAGCTGCTCACTGGAATGGACATACACAGATCTGAAAACAGAGCTGCTTCTGTTATTTTCCAGATTATTGCCTAAAGTTCAATTTCAAGCGTTTCCCACACCCTGCCGCCACCTCCTGTTCTCACTCACTTCCTCAACCCTACATACTTCAAAAGTTCCTTAGCCCCATCAGGAGTCCAGGGGTTACACTTCTTGTATTCTCACTTCTTCAGTGAGGAGCCAGTGGCTCCGGGTTGCCTGCCACCCCAGGACATGGCCATCAACACCTTTGCTCATCTCTGTCAGTGGGAAGCTGCCGCTCTGAATAAGCCCAGCTCTCTGTCTACTTTACATCTGCATCCAGGCAGCTGAGGGTGGGTAGAAGAACTAACAGATGGTGATTAGTGATCTCACTTGAAACTTAACTTGGACACAGGCCCACCCACGGCACCGTCTTGGTTAACTTACTTTGCAGGTCTCTGAGCTGATAATTATTATTATTCCCTTTCTGTTGAGGCAGCCAACACCTTCCACTTTGCTACATTTTATGGCTGGTTCCCAGTTGTCATATGATCCATGACTAAGTAGCATTTGACAGAGCTGCTCCTTCCTCCTTGAAACTTGGCCTCTGGGACACTCTGTGCTCCTGGTTGCCCTTCTACCTCACTGCAAAGCTCATCTTTCTCCTCTTCTAGGGCTTCCCCGGGCTCAACCTTCAGGACTCTTCTCTTTTCTATAGACTCTAGGCAAGGGTTTCTCAACCTTGGCACTACAGTACAGACGTCTTGGGTTGGATGCTTCTTTGTCGTGGTGGCCTGTCCTGTGTATTGTAGCATTTTTAGCAGCACCGCTGGCCTCTACTCACTAGACGACAGAGACATTGTCCACCCCACAGTGTGACATTGCCAATGTTTTCTGAGGGACAAAATCACTCCTGGTTGAAAACCACTGGTGTACATACGCTCAGTTAGACCTGTGGCTTTAAGTGTCTTCCAGAAGATGATAAGCCTCAAATGTATACTCCAAGCTCCAGACCTGTATATCCAACTGTCTTCTTGTTACCTCTACTTGGGGACAAACACTGAGATACTGGAGATAAAGTGTATTGTACTGTCTGCTTTTCCTACTAGACTATCATCTCCATGCAGTCAGGGACTTGGTATTTACTATTCACCCCAGTGTCTAGAACAGAGCTTGGCATATAGTGGGCACTCAAAGTATATGTGCTGGGTAAAAACACTTAACACGGCAGCTCCTTTCACGTAGTTAATCAATGACAGGGCAATCAGATAAGTTTAAACACAGTGAGGCACCTTTTAAAGGCAAACTTTAATTTCCAGTTAAAAAGAATGCTTCATTCTAAAACAAATGTGTAAACAGTGCGACTATTACCCATTAAATTTATTTAGTTAGAATTTTACTACAGTTTGGGAAGGAAATTATAACTAGTAATATTCTTTCAACACTTCTGTTCTACTCTATAGTCTTAATAGGATTAATTTCAATTTGGACTTATAATACACACATGAATATATACAGATATATATTTATTGTAAATAATAATTATGTCTTTTGACTATCATCATGCCAGATAGCTATCAATCCTTAGCTGCCAATAGCTCTTTAATGATTTATCCTTTTGGTCTAATTTATGCTATATTTGAAGTAGAGGGCAAAATTTTCTATGGACGTCTGATATTTAAAAAAAACCTACTTCCTGGATAATAGCTACATTTATGAGTAAATAGTTCTGTTTTTCATTTTTTTCTCCTTTTCCATGAGAAGTAATAACTAAATGTCCCATTTCTTTACCCGTCTTAGTTATTACACAGACAATATAATCCAGTCTACTTTTAATTAAAGAAAACCTGAATTTCAACATTTATTTTTGGCCCAGGTAGTATCCAGACAACTTTTCCATAACTCTTCTCAGTTTATTTATTTACTTGGGTGTTTATTCACTAAGCACGAAAACTTTTGTGTATTTCTTTGTTCAAATTTCCTGAGGTTCCTATAACAACTCTTCTTTGAAGAAAACTGAATAATGTCTTAATGATTCATATAAGTTGGAAGTGATAGCATCTTAAAACTTTATTAATAGACTAGAAATATTAAATATTCATGTTTACACAGCATGGAACTCAACCCAAATCCAATTAGCTCTGTGGATGCTATAAGCTCACATCTAATACACTTACCTTTGCCTTTGAATTCTATTTATTTATTTATTTTTTGAGACAAGAGTCTCAAGCTGTCATTCTGGGTAGAGTGCCATGGCATCATAGCTCACAGCAACCTCCAACTCTTGGGCTTAAGTGATTCTCTTGCCTCAGCCTCCCAAGTAGCTGGGACTACAGGCACCTGCCAGCTCCGGTGTACACGGCTAGTGTCCTAGTTGCTATAAGTGTGGAGACAGTGCCTTTGAATTCTTACATGATATCTTTATCAAACACACTTTAGTGAACATCTTCAGTGATGGTATTTTGCTTAAAAAACAAAAAACTGTCAAAATGTGTGAGTTTGAGTGCTACCCTTTTAATTGTTGTTGATTTAAAACAAATTCACCAAAAAAGTTGCTAGAGACATCTTTTAAAAATATTGTACATAAATAATATGTGATAAAAGATGGAATGTTAAATTTTAATACTGGATAAAATTTTTTAAAATCGTAACAAACTTTATTCCTGATGTCTTATCATTTATTAGCAAATTAACATTTTTAGAAAAAGTTCAGAAGTATTAACTTTCTAAACAACTTTGCTTTATTAAACTAATTCAAATATACTAAGTTTTTTTTTTTTTTTTTTTGCAATTTTGGTCTAGGCTGAGCTTGAACCTGCCAACCCTGGTGTATGGGTAGGGTGACCAGACGTCTCGCTTTTGGTGGGACAGTCCTGCTCTTTAAGAATTTGTCCCGTGTCCAGCGTTTTAAAAAAGTCCCGATTTTTGGAAAGAATGCACTAACGGGAGGGAGAACAGGAAGGGAATATACGGTTTTTGGCTGCCATGTGGCTATTTCACCAGAATATGAGTTTTATATTATTTTTGTTAATTTTATAATGTTAAACTGTAACAATAACAAATAATTATTGAGAAGTGATTATCGAGAACTGCTTATCAAAGTTTGCATTGTTGTCAGGCCCGGCCCTGCCCCGTCCCCTGCCCCTGCCCCCAACGTTGTCCCGCTTTACAAATGTTAAAATCTGGTCACCCTATGTATGGGGCCAATGCTCTACTCCTTGAGCCACAGGCGCCGCCCTAAATATACTAAGTTTTAAGAACAGATTTAAATCATATCAAGACACCAGTGGAATAGGATTTGATTAATTTCTGACCAATGAATCTTGGTAAGTTTAAGATTGAAGAACATGTTCTCACCAATTTTCAGTGTAAAGGAACGCACATCATCTTAACAACTTAGACACTGGGGATGCTGAAAAAGTAGAAAATTACACATATTTTTGTAGCTAAGCATAATTTACTCAGCAAAGATTCTACAAAATATAAAACGCCACTCATCTTACTAAGAAAACAAAAAAAAATGAGACCACAGCAGCTGTATTTAAGAACTGGAACGAGAAATGATTTGGCTTAGCCAATAACATGGGCAGAACCCTTTCTCCAATAAGGAGGCTGTCTTGGTAATTTGTCATCTTTCCTGAAGAGCGTGGGTGGAATGACTCACCCAAAACAGCACTGTTGCAATGCTTAGGCCAAGAGACCTTGCAGTTTGTTTTTCACACAGAGTGACTTCTAAGAAACAGGACTCTTTCCCGAACCCCTAAATCTCGAAATGTTCAGAGAACATCGTGACTTAGCTGGACTCTGGATTGAAATGAAGTTCAACAGAAAATCCTTTCCACAGGAACACTTCCTAAAATGTTTTAGGAGTGTTGCTGAGATGCAGTGGATCAGCAGGCAGTAAGACTGGATCTCGCTGGTGGCTTGCTTCTCTGCTCAGTCCCTCTTCAACAGCAAGTCAGTCACAGGAGCTTGCTCCACATGCAGAAGGGGACGGCACTGTCTCTTTAAGAATGCAGAACAGATGAAGCCCAGCGACCCATTTAGCTTTCCTCTGGGCAATATTCTATTTATCCATTTTCTCTATGTAAATGGAAATACATAGTCCACAAAGAATGAATATATGTTAATTTTAGGCATACTCTGGCAGCCCTTTTTCCTTCTTTCTCTTCTTCTTCTTTTTTTTTTTTTAACAAGTGTTTGGTATAGGTTTGATGGTATCACTTTTGCTCTTAAAAGTGAAGCATCACTGATCTGGCCAAACAATTGTAACATATTAGGGAATGAAATTCAAATTAAAAAAAGTCTTTTATCTGTTTCAACAGTTATAGTTTTGAACTTGGTTTTAAATTCTAACCAAAGGTAACACTAAAAAAATGTAACATGCTGTTGGGGGGCCAGTCTCTACAATATGTGCAGTTTTGGCCACTGCTACTAACCTATTAGGAAGACGAAACTCTGCTTACTGTGTACATCAGACTTGAAAGTAAAATTATTTTAGTGAGGGTAAATATTTAGTTTCTTGAAGAGCTACCTTCACATTGAATGTTATCTCCTCCATGACGTACACACGCTCAGGAAATGCTTTAGCCACCTCCTCCACGCTGTTGAAATATTGCACTGGTTCCTTTATATCTCGGTCTTGTTCCAGTAGCTTGAATTGCCCTAAAACACATGATGAACGGAAGAGATGTGAGATGTTTATGCTGGACAGCTGTCACCATGGCAACAGCATCTTTTCTCTTTAACCTTTTTTGGTCAAGGATTCCTGCTCATCACCATTAAAAATAAAAGTTATCATCGTAGGTTTCATTACATTAGAACATACCCGCATGTACAGAGGGTGCCTAAAAATGGATACTCAAAATTTTAAGAGCTGTGTTAAAATTTTAATGCTCAAGTCACCTTTTACTTCTGCAATTACATAAGATAAAAGAAACAATATACAAGATAACGAACATTATCAGCACACATGGAGCAATATAATTTTAATTCAGTTCTTTCCCTTTTGTAAAAAGTATGTACATTTTTTGTGCACTCTATATGTATATTTTAAAATAAGCTTAAGAGTGAAAACAAACTTGCGTTTGTTTTCTTTTCTGTTCACATTCAGAGTGGATTATCAGAGGTCCCAATCAAGCTGAATGAATGCTTGTCACTTCAAGTAAAAACGCACTCGGTGATAAACAGTTGCTCACTTGGTTTTTAACCTGAAGTTAACTCATCATTTGGTTACAGCACCCACATAGATTACATCCTAAAACCAAGGTCTGGAAGCCTGGGAGAACTAATTTTAAAAATTTGGTATTTAAAATTCTTTCAAGTAGAACAAAACCCTAGTTTTCACAGAACAGACATTCTTGGTTTCAGCAATACATGGGCAGTGTCCAGGGCTCAGGAGCTGCGATGATGTAGGATATTGCCGGGTCATGGGCCCATGAGCTGCTACACTGTGTGAAGCTCCACCCCGCCAGGCCCTCTGCATCTGGAGTCCACATGGCTTCTCTCTACCTTTATTGCTGCATATGACTTTCCTGCAAATAGACTACATTATCACGGCACCCACAATTTGTGGGACATGTGAAGAATTTCAAATATATTCCTAAAAATGTCAAAGGTCTGGCTTGCTGTGTATACATTTTTAGTAACTGTGAGGCTGTTGCTACATTCTAGAGTTGTTCTCATTTTAGAATAAAAGACCAATCAAATCAAGGACACAGTGACTGTCAGTAGTTACCTTCTGAATCCTGTTTATAGGATAATACTTGAAAAACTTAAAAACGAATTAAAAAATTAAAAACTATCATGAGGCAGATCTTTCAGGCAGAAAGAGGAAAACTTTCATTCACATTCTTAACACAATTTTTTAAAGCATCTCACAGGTAGAGGCACTACTCTAGATGCTGAAGATCCATCGTCAAACAGAATAGACAAAAATCTCTGTCCTCACATTCCAGGCAGAGATAGGTAATATAATAAATGAGTAAGTGTATACTATGTCAGAAGGTTAGAAGTGCTATTAAAAATAGGCAAGGGTCCCTGGTTGATGGAGGGAGACTCTGTATCCAAAACAAACAAACAAACAAAAAAACTGGCAAGGGTGGGGGGATGCAGAGTGCAGGGAACCAGAGTCAGTGTTGCTGAGAAGGCAACCTTCTGTGTAGGTGAGGGAGGGATCCTGGTAGCTGGGGGTGGAAGTCTCAGAATTTATACCTTGGCAACATCCTGTGCAAACACCCTCAGGGGGTGGGTGCCTGCCTGGCACGCTGCCAGCATGGCTGGTATGGGGTAAAGGGAAAGAGGGGAGAGAGAGCGTGGTGACAAGTGCTCAGACTGTGTGTGGCGTTTACAGAACTACAGCTCTTCCCCGGAGTGGAATGGATAATAGCAGAGAAGAGGTGATGTAACCAAGGCCACAGAGGATCCCTCTGACTGCTGTGTTGTGAAAAACTCTAAAGGGCAAAGAATAGAGGCAGAGACACCAAGTAGGAGGGGTTGGGGAGTGGTGAGAAAACGTTAGGAGTCCTGACAGAGCTGCCGCTGGCAGAGATGGGGCAGATTTGGAGTGGTGGAGGGGGGACCAGAAGTTCAGGCTGGACAGATGGACAGTTAAGTCTGAGACGTCCACTGGACATGAAAATGGAGCTATTGAAAAAGTTCTTAAGTGGATGGGTAAGTGTACAGGTCAGGAGAGAAGTCTGGCTGGAAATAGTAAACCTGAGAGTCACCAGCACATACATGCCACTTACAGCCATGACACTTTGAGTGTGGTGACCACAGGCTTGAGTGTGGACAGAGAAGAGTCTAATTTGAGCCCCGGGAGGCTGGGAAGGAATGACAGAGAAATGAGAGGCAAACTAAGAGCAGGTGAGGCCAGGAGTGGTGGCTCTGCCTGTAGTCCCAGCGCTTGGGAGGCCGAGGCGGGTGGGAGGCCGAGGCAGGTGGACTGCCCTGAGCTCACAGGTTCAAGACCAACCTGAGCCAGAGGGAGACCTCATCTCTAAAAATAGCCAAGTGTTGTGGCGGGTGAATATAGTCCCAGCTACTTGGGAGGCTGAGGCAAGGGAATCGCTCAATGAGCCTAAGAGTTTGAGGTTGCTGTGAGCTGTGATACCACAGCACTCTATCCAGGGCGACAAAGGGAGACTCTGTCTCAAAAACAAAAACAAGAGCAGGGGTATCCCAGAAGCCAAGAGATTCAATTCCCCCCAGGAGCGGGGATGGGACAGTGAAATGAGGACTGAAAACTGAAATTCAGCAACTCGGACAGAGTGGGGATTTTGAGCTGGCCTAGAACCTGAATGAACTGGGTTCTGGAAAGACAGAGAAGGGAGAAAATGTAAATAACAAGAATGGACACAGGGGCTGTTTTGGGACTTTTGCTAGAAAAGAGAGAAAAAGGGATATTGAACAGGGACTACAGGGAGGCAGTGGAAGTGCAATCTGTGGAGTGTGGCTATTTCCTTTACTGTGCTGGGAGAAGTAACGACATAGGCTTAGGTGCCAAAGGGAATATTGAGCAGAGAGGAAGAAGCTAATGACGGGGAATGCCTGGAGCGTGGACAGTTCATCTCAGCTGTAAGCGATGCTGCAGCTGGCCAGTGTGGTGGCTCACGCCTGTAATCCTAGCACTCTGGGAGGCTGAGGCGCGAGGAGCTTGAGCTCAGACGTTCTAGACCAGCCTGAGCAAGAGCAAGACCTCTATTTACTAAACATAGAAAGATTAGCCAGGTGCTATGGCAGGTGCCTATAGTACCAGTGACTCCCAGCTACTTGGGAGGCAGGAGGAACGCTTAAACCCAGTAGTGACAAGTTGCTGTGAGAGGGCTGAGGCCACAGCACCTTAGCCTGAGCAACAACGGCATGAGACTGTCTCAAAAATAAATAAATAAATAAATATATTAAAGGGAGATGCCGTAGCAGGAGCTGGTAAAAGCTCTTATTTATTGCTCCAGTTTTCCCAGCCAAAGTCAAAAGGTATCAGTTGAGAAAATAAGGTTGAAAGAGGAAGGGTTGGAGGGTTAAGGAAAGAGGCAAGGATTATTAAAAAAAAAGTCCAATATGAGTGACTGCTGGGCCGCATCAAGTTTCCACTTGAGGTTCATGGTCATGAATTAAAAGAGAACCACAGGATGGAACTAGAAAATATTAAATTAGGTGAAATAAGCCAAGTACAGAAAGACAAATCTTCTATGTTTTCACTCATATGTGGGAGCTAAGTATTAAAAGGAATTGCTCTGATGGAGACAGAGAGTACAGTGATCATTACCAGAGGCTGGGGAGGGCAGTGGGGAGGGACGGGATTGCTAATCAGAACAAAAATATGGTTAATTAGATAGAATGAACAATATTTGATAGCACAACGAAGTATCTATAATCTACAGTAAGTTAGAGTATACTCTAGAACAACTAAAAGAGTGGAATCAGAATGTTCTTAACACAAGGAAATGTTAAAAATCTGGAGTAATGGATACCCCAGTTACCCTGATTAATTCACATTGTATATTTGTATCAAAATATCACCTATACCCTATAAAGGTAAACAATCATTATTATCCAGAGAGAATGGTATGCTTTTGTCCAGCCAAGGCCACACACCCAGGGGCTGGAACAAAGTAGGCAGGATCTGGACTCAGAAGGGCTGAAGCTGAATGGAGTTGGTGTACAGGCAAGGGAAGGAGTGGGCCATCCATGCACAGAGCTGACTGGACAAAGACGGACTTAAGAGAGGAGAGAGACAGTGAAAAAAGCAGCGGGTTCAGTGTCCTACGGGTTGATTTCTGGAGCCCAGAGGGAGTGAGCTCCATGCCGGGGAGTGAGGTCAGGGCACACAGCTGAGACAACGGAGGGACACAGCTGTTGGTTGAAGGCTGAGGTGGTGAGTGGCTGAGGAACTGAGAAGCCAGGGGTGTTAGAAGGATTATGTCTCCAAGGGAAATGCCCACAGATGAGGAGAGGCGCATTGCTGGAGAGAATAACAGTGAGCCAGGCGCTACGGTTACGGAGCAATGAGGCAGGAATCCGAGGTGTGGTCAGCAGCTAACAACAGGGCAGTGGGTAATACCAACTGATCACAAGAGGTTTAGAGCTGAAACTTTTGGGGGGAAAGAGAAGTGGAACGGTAAAGGTGTCAGTGAAGGAAAAAGAGCACTGGCGCCCTTAACTTCAGGGCAAAAACCAGAGCTGCCACCTGAGGGTTTCAGAGGAAGCAACACTCTCACAGCACACCCACGTTTGGGTTTAACAAGTAATGTCAGAGAAGGGGTTCAGGGTATAGGGGTTTTGCTGGTGACACACTATGGTGGGGGTCGGGTAGGGGTGTGGTTTAGGAGTTATGGGGCAGTGGATAAGGACCGTATAAACACCGCTAATGAGGCATTTTAGATTCTTCTTTTGTACTGTCTTTTAAACTGGTGAGTGTTTTACACTTAAGTGTAGGTTCAGACTAGCCACTTGTAAGTGCTCAGCAGTAATTACCTATGAGACAGTGCCGGTCTTGAGTATTTCTGCATCATCCTAAGCCTGTGACTGCAGGTACTGTCCAAGTCCTTGAAGGTTTTGGTCTCCAACCCCCCAGCCCCCAGTACCAGTCAGTCTGTGGCCTGCTAGGAGCTGGGTCACACAGGATCACCACCTGAGTTCTGCCTCCTATCCCATCCTCCACC